AAATTATCTTACAATTAACTTTGTCTCAGGGGAGTTACTTCCCATTCTCCCTTTTCTTTTCGTCTTCCCACACGGCTATACTTTCAGCCTGGTTTGAATTTGGCGCCATTGAGATCCATACGCACTCAACGGTGCACCGCTTTGCTGTTGGAAGTCCCAGCTTTTTAAACTTGCCTTAATGCATCTATTGCAGCACTCAATTTATGTACGAAGCTTGATACACATTCTAACCCTATTCTTCATTTTATGGTTGTTCTGACAGTTGGCTATGCCTCAAGTCATTTAAGAAGAAGAAGAAGAAGATACCAGTACAAAATAATTATGTATGTACGTACCAGTGCAGTACTAGTATAATAAAAGTATGTCGTACTGTTAGAATTATAAAATGTGAGTACTCGATAAAAGTATAGTACTAGTACAATGCCAGTACGTCGTACTTCTGAAATAAGAAGCACAACTGGGAATCTTTGCTGGCAATGCCAACTCAACCTCACTTTTTTGAAAATTGTCAAATATGAACGCGTCACTGAAAACGGTGCAATAAATGTTGGTGAAAAAAGTGGTTTATGATGCAGCAAAAAAGTTTTAACGTTTGTAACTTGTGATTCTGTACTTATCATGAATATCCGTGATTAAATTTATATTAAATTATCGAATTTTATAAGACTTATGTTGTTTTGCTTTGACATGACGCTTTGTGGCATGGTGTTCTTTCATTGAAAAAAATCTAAATCTTTTCTTTTATAAACTTTTTTATACATTTATATTGAAAAAAATTCGTAAACTTAATCTTGATGATATTAATATAAATTGAAATGTGTTACTTCGCTATAGTTTTTCTTATACATATAACATATTTATAGGTTAGGATGTGATAATATGTTTCACCCAACATCAAAACAATTTGAAACATCAAGTTTAAAATTCTTTTGAAATAATGTTTAAATACAAGCAAGCAATCAATTAATACTTAATAAAGATAATTAATTAGAATAATATAAAACATCAGATATTCTAAGATAAGTGAAAATACAAGTTACATATTTTATATAATATGTGCACAGACATATATCATATAAATAAAAAAAATTATTGAATAAAAATAAATAAAAATGAATTATTATTATTTCATTCCTCCCAAAGATTTTCCTTTTTAATAATAAATTAAAATAATTAAAATACTATTGTAGAAGGAGAGAGGGAGGGGGTATAGAATTTTTACTTTATACAGCATACCAGTATTGTACCAGTACAATAACAATACGTTATACTAATTCACAAAAGACTTTCAATACGCCATACTTTTATCGTACTAGTATTGAGGTCTGTGAACTTGCGACCGACACTTTGAAATTTTAAAAATTTTTTTATAGCATTCAATTGTCCACAAAAAGTCGACCTTTGTCCAACAAAAGATTTTAATTGTCCACCTTCTGTTTAAATAAAAAATAAAAAAAATAATTTTTTCAAGTCGAAAGTTCAAAAATTGGTAATTAACATTCACTAGAGCACTCATAGGTTATTTAGCGTTAATAGACGTTTGTCCAACAAAAAATTTCTTTTCTACAAAAAAAAAAAAAAAAAGTTTATTTTGGGTAAAAATACTGAAATATGGCGAAATACCAATTTTACCGTTTCCACTACATTTATTGTTTGTCCACGGTAAGCTCAAATAGACAATCAAAGTTATGCCCCAAAACATTAATTCATTCATTCCTTTAGACCGTAAAAAAAATTGAAATTGATAGTTTTCCACTGGGAACGCGATTTCTTTAAATTCTAGGGTTGGACAATTAAATATACTAGTTGGACAATTCTTAGTGCTAGTTGGACAATTGATACTGATACCAAATTCATTAATGAATCCATATTTTTTGACCGTACAGAAGAAGAAAAGTTAAAATTGATAGTTTTCCACTGGGAACGCGATTTCTTTAAATTCTAGGGTTGGACAATTCAAAATACTAGTTCGACAATTGAATCTATTGATGATTTAGTGCATAATTTTAATTGTCCAATTAGTAGATTTAATTGTCCAACTAGTGGATTTAATTGTCCAACCTTTGATTTTTTAGGAAACTTGTTACAAGTAAAATACTATCAAATTTAAGTTTTATTTATCTCTGCAGTCTAAAGGAATGAATGAATTGATGATTTAGGACATAATTTTAATTGTTCAACTAGTGAATTTAATTGTCCAACTAGTGGATTTAATTGTCCAACCTTTGATTTTTTAGGAAACTTGTTACAAGTAAAATACTATCAAATTTAAATTTTATTTATCTCTGCAGTCTAAAGGAATGAATGAATTGATGATTTAGGACATAATTTTAATTGTCCAATTAGTAGATTTAATTGTCCAACTAGTGGATTTAATTCTCCAACCTTTGAATTTTAAGGAAACGTGTTACAAGTAAAATACTATCAAATTTAATTTTTATTCATCTCTGCAGTCTAAAGGAATGAATGAATTGATAATTTAGGGCATAATTTTGATTGTCTATTTGAGCTTACCGTGGACAAACAATAAATGTAGTGGAAACGGTAAATTTGGTATTTCGCCATATTTCAGTATTTTTACCCAAAATAAACTTTTTTTTTTTTTTTTTTGTAGAAAAGAAATTTTTTGTTGGACAAACGTCTATTAACGCTAAATAACCTATGAGTGCTCTAGTGAATGTTAATTACCAATTTTTGAACTTTCGACTTGAAAAAATTATTTTTTTTATTTTTTATTTAAACAGAAGGTGGACAATTAAAATCTTTTGTTGGACAAAGGTCGACTTTTTGTGGACAATTGAATGCTATAAAAAAATTTTTAAAATTTCAAAGTGGCGGTCGCAAGTTCACACACCTCTAGTATTGTATTAGTACAGTACCTGGTACCGTACGGAGGTAGATGGCTGGTACAGTACTAGTACGCCTTATACGCCGTACTCATACTGTACTTGCATCGTACTAGTACGCTGGTTATCTGGGTAGGGGAAAGGTGGGTAAGTTCGCTCGACGGATAAGTTCGTTTTTCTTAATAACTTTTTTAAAAATAAATATTACGTATAACCGTTTTTAAGAATGGAGTATTGTATGGTAACGATGGTGTCTTAAAAGTTTTATTGTAATCAGTTTGTTATTAACAAAAATATTAAACAAGTATGAAAAAGTTGCTTCTAATTGTAAGTTTTTTGAATTTTAGAAAAACGTATTTATTATCCATAGAAATTGGTAATTTTTTTTTATTATAATTCTGGAACATTACACTTTATGAAAATCATGTTTTGAAAATTCAAAATAAGTTGTAAAATTAAATAAGTAATAAAATGTTTAAACTATTAATGTCGGGTAAGTTCGTGCGGTTAAGTTCGTCAAATCACAAGTCGCGCAAGCAAGATACGTAAGTTAGGTACGGGACATGCGCAATTGCTCAGAATGTATATAGAGATATGCGGCAGAAGACGAACTGATAGATTTCTACAAATGCAGGAAATTATTTAATAATAGTTTAATTTAATGCTGCAATAACAAATATATTTTGATTTATACTTTATTATTTAAATTTTTGTTTCTCTTTTAATTTTCATTTATTGTAGCATAATTAAGAAAATTACTATTATGCATAACCTCAATTATATACATACAATACCTATCTAAAATGTGATATTTTAAAGTTTTAAAAGATTTTATACCGAATAGAAAAATGTTAAATCTGATTTTTAATCGGGTTTGTTGTTTTTAATCGGATTGTTAAATCTGATTTTTCGCACAATACTAAAAATGTTATTTACACATTGTTAAATATTAATAAATAAATTATCTTTTTCACTGTCATTCGCATTCATTCTTCCTTTCATGTCTAAAAATCTTTTAATAGAAAAAATGCATAATTCAATAAATTTATAATAACAAATAATTATTTGAATACTTTGAGAAAGAAAAACATTTGAAATAAGCGCGCACAAAGCGCGCATGCGCATTTGTCTCTGAGAGTTACGTACTTTACGTAGCTACTTTCTCCTCCTTTAAAAACTAGTTTTGATTGAAAAATTAAATTTGACAAAAAAATGTATATTTTTTATTATAATACAGTATTAATTTTTAAGACATTCATAAGATTATTGATTAATAAAAACAAATACAAAAAAATTTGACACATTTACTTCAATTTATTCCTACTTTTTGGAAGAAACAGACTTACCCTCCTCCGTAGTCGAACTTACCCGCACCTCAGGTCAATTCTTCATTTTTACCATCGATATTTTAATTACAATTTACTTAATATTTTTGTTAAAAGATGTAAGAAATATTTGAATTTATATTAATCGATTAAGTGCTTTATCGATATATCGTAGATATTCATAAATCGAAGTATAGGTGGCGTCTTGGGCGTACCCCTTTGTTTCAGTTCTCTTTGAGTGGCCTTTGTGCCATGTCATATTTATATATTGTTTTTTACTAATTTTTAATAAAGAGATAATTCGTGTTCAAATATTAATATTGTGTTGTATCATGCTTCCCATAATCCTCTGACAAAAGACAATTCAATCAACTATTCTGTTTTATTTCTGAAGGTTGTCTTTGTACTATGAAAGAGTTTTTATACTTAAACATTATAATTAAGTAACTTTTTTTATACTCTAAACTTTTTTTGGGCGAACTTACCCACCTTTCCCCTATATATAAAATTATACATTTAAAATTAATAAATAAATTTTATGATTCGTTCAAAATTTTATGTTATTAAATTATAAAAAATTAACTTGCGTGCACAAACGCGCGGCCGGTCTCGTGATATCCAAAATGAAAAACAGTATTTAAAATTATACGAATCAGGAGGCATGAAAAATACTTCCTGTTACAAAATGATTAAAATGTAAAGATATTTTAATTATTTGTTGGTATATTTTTTTTAATTTTACTTATTGTTTTAATAATTACTATACATTTTATTGATTATTATGGTATAGATTAAACTAAATTCACAAATTTTAAAAGCAATTACTTACTCTAGTTGTGCTCTGAAGATTTCATCAAAAAACAGCACATGAAACAGAAAGAAAATCATTTCATTAATTAAGATCATTAATATTTTAATATAAAATTATACAATGCAAATTTGTCTAAATACTAAAGTAACATTATCAATAAAGTGTTATCATTTTCCAATCAATGAGACAAATGATGTTTGAAATTCATAGATATGGAATAATGAGAATTAATGTGCGGTTAAATTTGAAACTGATAGTCATTGTCTTATGAAATTCATGGCATTTAATATCGAAACAGCTAAACTGTGAAATCAATATATATATATATATAAAATAATTTTAAAAATTTAACATTATATACATAAATTATTATTATCATTTATAATGCTATTATGATTATGTAAAAAAAAATAATATTCACTCTCTTATATTTATTGAATATAAAACAATTGATAACACATGAAGAAAAATTACATTTTTGGAAAACCATTATGAAACTCATGCTTAATAAATAAATAAAAGTTTCATAGGTATATTTAAAAGAATCATACATTCCATAATTTTTATCAAATGAAACAGTTAAAATGTGTATTTTCTTATTTTTCATAAAAATTTCGAAAAAATATTCTAGTAGAGAAATTTTTATTTAAAATGAAAATCTCACTTGGAATGCCCCATAAGGAAGTAAAGTGTTTGTGAAGCTTTTTATTCGTGTACTACAGTCACATATTGTATTGTTTGTTGGCAATCTAAACATCAAATTTTTTTATAGCTACGTACGCGATTACTCGTATTGTATTTATGCTCTTTTTTCCGGACACACTGAAAATGAATTTTCAGTAGTAGAGAGCTATATTTTTAGTCAGACACAGTCAAAGTGGAATATAATTTCTATACGAACTGACGTTAAAAACACTAGTCGAGTAATACTGTCGAAAAAGTACGAAATACTTATCCGATTTGTAAATTTATTTAAAATTAAAGATAATAAAATTCTTCATAGTACGTCAAATTTTTATGGAAAAAATTCCTCTCAATTCTTTACTAAGTGTTAGGTATATTCAAATAGTATATTAATAAGCGACAATAGGCCTAAAAGTGAATTGGTATTAGAACTACCCAAAATTTTTCAAAAATTGAACAAAACGTAAATATTGTTATTTTTCCTTTCGATGTTTTTTACTTATATTATTTTAATTATTTATCTTTATTTATTTTTTTACATTGAAAACTTTTTTTCTTTGTTATTTCAAATATTGAAAATTAATTAAAGTTTGAAAAAATTTTATATACAAAATAAATTCTTTGCAACACTAACCTCCAAAGTTAAATTTTACACACCGAAAAGTGTGTGTAAAGAAGCTCTTTACACACTGAAATTTACTTTACGCACCGAAATTTATCTCACATAATATAAGGATTGTTTTAGACCATACAAAACCACAAAATTAAAGGAAGAACTTTACTTTTAAATTTATACCCTACTGCTTAAAGATATTTTTCCTGATCTTCGATTGACTTTTTTAATTCTATACAATCGAAATTATTCTAATAGAGAGTTGGAATTCTTCATAATAGGTACTTAACTTTAGAGGTTTAAGTATTCCATGTACGCCTTGTACTAAGTTTTGCATTGGTTTTCAAATCCTTACATTGTAAGTATTAAAAAAATGATGAATAATTAAAATGGTCCGAGGGACCAAGCTGCTTTAATTCAATAGAAAACAAGATTTTAATAGCAGGATATTCAATATTTTTTGCTAACATATTGTTTAAAATGTACATTATAGCATCAGCTTATCTAATTGTTGGATAACGATTTTGAAAAAATATTTTCTTAAATAAAAGTATATGAAAAAGCAAATTGTTTGGGTGCGAGAAACCCAGCTCAGCAGCGCAAGGGTTAATCTAACATTTGTTTTAAAAAATGTTGTGTAGTTTTGTTACCAACTAAAAAAACATTAAAAAAATTTGTGATTATTTTGATATTAGTCAATGTGAAATCAATTAATAAATGTTTTAGTCATAAAATTACGAATGAAAAGCTGTATAAATTATGATAGAAAATTAAAATTTATGTAATAATAAATCCGAGAAGGCGCATATATTATTTAATTTAACAAGGGAAAAGTTTCTGCTAACGTAAATGTCGTCCGTCCTTGGAAAATAGAAGTCGTGAGAATGGAGTGAAAATCACAAATTTCTTGTCTCTGATATGCAAACTAAGTGTCAGCACCATTTGTTTCTGTTTCGTGTGTAGAGAGGCAACTTGTACTTTTCTGGGTAATTTTCGTTCGCTACAAACTACAAGTTTTAATATACAAATGGATCCATGTATTATTTGTAAGCTCCATCGGTTGTTTATCAAAAGATTTTAAAATGTCAGCACACCTCTTCTCCCATCCGTCAAATGTGTACGAGTTTAAAGTACATGGCGTGTGTATGAGCGCTTACGGATATTTGCACAGTTACCAATATTCAATAACCACGTATGACTTGGCACAAAACTGCAATGGTATACATATATGAAAACTTTAATACAATTGTGTGTGGTTGCAACTCGAAAATAAATTCTTTATACAAGAAATAGAGAAACAAAATAAAATTTTATGAAAAATTCCTGCCTTGTTCATTGTTCAAAATTTTGTTAAATATCAAACTTGGTAAAATAAAAATTAGTTTAAAAGAAAAAGCTTCACACTCCTGAATTAGTAAATAAAAAGTTTCAAAAAGTAACCGGAAAAAATATATTTTTGCATATACAACAACAATTATTTTCTGCTTAGGTATTTAATTTAAAATTCTGTAAATATTATACAGTACACTGTGTCTTAAGAATTATACAAATTTTTTTTTTTAATTTCGTATATAATATTGAAAATTTGTTTGTTTCAGTTTTAAGTATAAAATTTTTCTATTTACAAATAAAATACTTATAAATAAAGTTTAAAAAATTTTTAACATTTGTTTTTATATAATTAGAGGATAATATGAAAAAATAAATTTTGGTAAATTAACAATAATTTCATATTAATTGGAATTCAGAGCTTTTGTAATAATGAAAAAACCTTTGAGCTTAAATTCTACTATATAAATTATTTTTAGATTTGAATATGTTTCTACACTGTAGTCGAGCTTTTGATCTAGAACTGATTTTATTTTAAATCATAACATTCAATCTTCCTTGTAAAAGAAGATTTTTCTTATCCCTCTCTCGGGATGGTGTTGAAAATCTATTCTTCCCGTTATAGGTTGATGTAATTTTTTTTATTTATTTCTTTTGCTTTACATGCCCAACGAGTTATATATCGCCAACCAAAAACAAAAAAAATACCTACATCTATTGTGATCGAATTTTTTAATCCAATAAAAAAAACATATCTCAGAATTTTATTTCATTTTTCCATTTAAAATTTTTAAATTCACTCTGGAAGAGATATTATTATAAATAGTAATAAATATAAATATATACATATTGGTTTTACTAATGAATATGTGATTTTAATCTTTGAACTTAAAATACTCATGTATATAATTACTACGCTGTACTCGAAAATAGTCGAGTACTTGTGTAAATTGAATTTGAATATTCGATTGTTTGTAAGCTATTTACTATTTTTTCATGAGTTTGTAATTTCAAATGTGTAGTCATTCATTTAACTGTTGATTAATTTAGTAATTTTTGCAAAACAATAAAAATTGAACGTTTAATATGCTCGAATTCATTCGAGTACTCGAATATTTTCCAGACCTCGAAAACTTCGAGTGCCCGAATACATTCGAGTACTGGAAAATTTCGAGTTCTCGAATTCACTCAAGTACTCGGAATTTTTGAGTACTCAACTGTATTCGAAAATTTTTTTTTTTAAATTGTATTAAATATAAACCTACATGTAATGTAACACACACAGAGTAAAAAGGTAGCACAATACAATAAATATAAAGATGAGATGACGCTTCGTATGCGTGCGATTGTTCAAAAGTTCACAAATACATTAATTAGAACAGAATTGAAAGAGACAATTTTAGCCTCGAGTTTTGTGACCTTTTCATTTTTTTTGTTAAAAAAAAGAATAAAAATGATTTGATAGGGTAACAGAGAACACCCTTAGTAATTTAGAATTGTTACGTTGTGTGATTAGATGGGTTGAATTCTCTTGTAGAAAAAAATGGATCGTTAAAATTTAACCTCCACGAATCACGAAATGCTGGACACTTTTTTCTTCTCTAAAATTAAAATTTTTTCTCTCTAAAATTAGACAAAAGGGGATCATTGGTTGCTTTTATCGTAACGGGAAATTAGACTCGACTGGCAAAGATAAAAATCTACCGGATTAAAGCGTAAACATGTCTACGCCATTTTAAGAAACTTCGCACTTTTGTAACAATGTACTAAATCAAAACTTTTTTTTATTTTAAAAAGACTTTTGTTAGTTTTTTTTTAAATTTTATTATTTTCTATTATCATTTGTTTATTAAAATATGTTAAAATATATAAAACGAAAGATTTTCATAATTTATTTTATTGTGTATAATTTTTATAAAAATTTTTTTTTAAGATTATAAGATGTTTAATTAATCTAAAATTGAAGTTTGTGGTTATGATTGTCTCATAATTTTTAACATGATCCTTTATTACTATACTTGACTTTTAATCTTGACCTAGAATTTTAGGGATTAGATTTACATTATGTTATCTTTAAAGTTTTATTGTTTTTTAAATGCCTAACTAATTGAACTTTCTCGATTTAGTTTACAATTTTGATAAAATGATTAAATAGGATGTTCAAAAAGTATAGAAACTTGCAAAAATCTCGAAAAGTACGCATTTTCGTGATATTTCTTTTTTCACTGTTGGGTCCCGGGACCAATGTTTTGGGTTCAAAAATCTGGATCTTTTTGTTGGGAACAACTTTTGTGTTGAAGATTTTTCACGAAAATGCGTACTTTTCGAGATATTTGAAAGTTTCCATACCTTTTAAACACTCTGTATAAAAAAATTTATTGGTTTCTTTTTTATAAAAATTATA